TCGGGACGAAAACAAAATAGCTTTCACGGTGTGTAATTATTTTTATTTTAAAATAGTAAGGTATAGATTATTCAAAAATACTTTACTAACTACTTCATAAAAAAGTCACCTCGATATTATAAAATATTGAAGATTTTTCATAATTTCCAACTTAGTTCCCTGGGAAAATGAAGTTAGGCGCGCACCGCCGACTTATTACTCTATTAATAAATCGCAATCACTGTTCGACCGAGAAAAACTTAACTTAAGTTGGTTAGATGCAAATCCTCACTATAAATTGGCGAGGCGCGGACGGATTTGAAGCATTAATTTGTGGTAAATCGTGTGGAAAATGGAAATTTTGTGCAGCCTCCGGCTTCCACGGTTTGACAAACTTACGTTTTCCTTTCCGCCACCCTTGAGGATATATTGAACCATTCAATTTTCAACCCTAACATTTTAAACTTTAAGTTTCGTTTGACGTGTGCTGTATTTCAGGATGGAAAATAGGATAACCAAGAGCGTGGTTGCGTGAGACGTGATGAGAATGTGCGCCACGTTTTTAATAAGGATCGTAGATTTTATTTGTAAATATGATATGAGCGTGACGTACACAAGTTGATTAAAGTAAATATATGACAATGTTGAAACTCCGAGTCTTAGGTAAATGAATGATACATCAAATAACTACGTTCTTCGTTGTTTTCTATGCCATCTATGCTAGAAACTTGTCACTCTCACGACATGTCTTAACTCTCAATATGTGATAACTGAACTGACACCGATCAGCTACCAAATCATTCTTGTGTCCAAGATAAGGCATTGACGAGTTAGAAAAATTGCACTGGACTTTATCCAACAGATAGGTGACTGACACGCTCTCCTGGCTTTTGGAGTGAAGTGAAGTGTCAACAAGAAGTGTGAATGACTGAAATCACGGTGCAATATTGTGGATAAGTTGCATAAACGTCTTCAATCAATCCTTCACAGATCTCACTGATCAAGCTCTTTAAAGTGCAAGCGAAAACTCGACATGCATTTATTTTCAAAATAGAGCAGTTTATAATTTTTCTGTACTACATAACAAGCATGATCTCTGAATTCCACTCTTTAATATACAACAGCAATATACTTTTTAATTTAAATACGGCTTGCAGTTAAAAGAGGTTGCGAAATAGTGATGAATTAGGGTTGCTTTTACTAAAATTAGTGGAGTATTTAAACTAAGCTTATGTACAGGACAGGATTACCTCATCACTAAGTCATGGCATTATAAAACACTGTTCTAATTCAGAGGCTTATTATCATTTTATCCGTGTCCACAATCAAAATTCACGTCTCACTGCCCTTGAGTGACGTGCGGCTAACGACCAGTCGCGACATTTGTGGCGTGGGCTCACTGCCGGCGTGCGGCGGGCTCACTATAATTATACGTAACTAACGACCCATCCTGGCTTGGTGCTGTACTGTTGGACTTTCTTGGTGTATTTTATAGTTGTCTCCTTAATATCAAAATAACATAACATCACGCCTTTTCTCCTCGAAGGGGTAGGCAGAGGTGCACATTATGCCACTGTACAATGTAACACCCACTTTCCACTATTTATGTTGTGAGTCCCATGTAATAGGGAGTGAGCTTATTGCCATATTCCGGGCACATTTCCAGACTTCGTGCTACTACTGAGATTTTTTGAAAAACCCAGTAATACTTTGTCCGACCCGGGAATCGAACCCGAGATCCGTTGCCTGTCGAGTCGCACTTGCAACCACTTGGCCAACGCGGCAGTCAATCAAAATTAATATAAGTGTTAGATGGTGAAAAATTCAATCATTTACAATTACTGCATTACGCTATACGCTAATTCTTTGTACATTTATTAATAAATAGGGTCCTTGAACAGCTTCATAACCTAGTACTTGTAAATTACTCAAAATAATAGATATTTAAGTTTAGAAAATATGTGTTGTGTTGGCTGAATTACGATTTTCCGTGAAGATTTATACCTCTATTATCAGGCCTTTAAAGTTGTGACTTGATAATATCATCTTTAAATATTAACATTAGAAAAACATAGTGAAAATGTTAACCTACCTTTCTCTGCAGTGATTCACACAGCAGTTTACTATATTGTGTCACGTATTCGTTGCCTAGTTGAATCACGGGTTAATCGGGGTGAACGACCGGATTAATAAGTTTCAGTGGTGATTTCATTATACGGGGTATTGGAAAGTTAACTTTAGCTAGACTGTTTTTGTTACTCGCTATAAAAGGGTTCACAGAACGCATTAATCCAAAATCAGAGTTAAATAATGGTTTTCAGATATAAGAAGATTAATTTGATTTGTATATATTACACCGTAATGTTTAAAAATTATAACCGTTATGTAACGAAACGTAAATAATAATCATTAATCGTTGTTAATAGTTTTCGTAACATCCCTATAGTGAGATCTTTAAAATAATAATAATTTTCGTAGCATTGGATTCATTAATAGGATACTACGCCGTAGCTGATGCGTAGCGGATTGACTACGACAGCTACGATAGTGTAGCACGATCTTTATACGCAATAACTAGATATTTTATCTTTTTATTCTTCATTTCATCAGTTTAAATAGGAGGAGGTTCTAATTCGTCGAATATATTTTAAGTATAAATCTTATCCATATCTGCTATATACTTACCAATGATGGTTGACGTCAGACTAGGGTGGTTTTAAGAGAAGTCAGAAATAAAAGAAGCTGTTTTTCAATCACGCATATCATTTTATTAAGTGTTGTAGCTAGGCTCTCTTCTATTTTTTCAATTAATTACACATTAATTGACAATAATAATATATAAATTATCCTTATAATTAAGGGTACAAAAATAAAATGTAAAAAATACAAACTATCTACACACGTAATTACGATACAGGAGAATGTTCTTCAATGAAGCCTTAGCAAAGTAATATAAACAGTAATTTGAAAATTATTATTATTTTTTGAGTATAAATTATATTTTTCCTTCTACTAAAATTATGACATTTCTTACAATCAAATTAAATGGTAAGTTACAATTTTTTTATTCAAATTGCATTAACAAAAAATATTGATAATTTGTTATACATGTTGGAAAAAAATGAAGTAACTGTTTGTAATAAGGATTTTATAATAAGAAAAAATATTTTAATACTCTTGGGATAAAAATAATAACGTAACGTATGAATAATCAATTTCATTATGTATATTTTTTCTATCTACAACAAACTTCGTGCCTAATTCAATAACTCCTATTACAAAGTCTTTCTGTTTTCTAAGTTTTTTTATTACTTTAACAAACCTTAGGAAATACGAATTTATTATACACAAATTTAATTTTATTGGCATTATAACTTTCAAACGAAAATTCGAAAATAAACTATGTTTAATTTTATATACAAACTGATAATCTTGAATTGCAATAATTATAAAAAATACATTTCTGAAAAAAACATTTAATGTTAATTCAATTGTAAAATAATGCCAATTAAATTTAAAAAAAAAACACGCTGATTAATGTAAGTAGAGATAGTTCATAAATTCACTAGAAACTGACCAGTTACTGTTAACATACTATTAAGTTTATTTATACATTGTCTAAATTACTATATAAAATCGCTATCAGTCTGATGTCAACAACAGTAATACTACACAGTTATTATTATATTTTACATTTTTATTTGAATTTAATGTAATTGTAATTATCTTACACGGTTCGTACAAAAAGGTTTGAAATTGCTGATTTAAATGTCACCAAAGATTAAAAATAACTTTAAATAAACTTTATATTTTTTCAAACAAAAATGACACAAGAATTACTTCAAATAAGAATTCATTGTCATTAAATAGGCACTAAAATATCGAAAACGATTATTTCAAAATAATTCGTATATAGGCAAGCTATGTAATTAAATAATTTGAAACATTTTAAAATAGCTGAAAAATATAATATAATTAACTTTGGCAAGAAACAGCGCTGCTTCAAAAGACATCTTTGGTAAAAATACGAAATAATGTTCGAACGATATAAAATGAATACAGGAATGAGAATTTTTGGGGTATCCAAAAATGTGTCGTAATAATTTTACACAGGAACGTTTTTAGCTCAGCTGGTAAAAATACGATTAATTAGGTAATCAATCTCGTATTCATTATACATGCATTATTACGATACATAGGCACATTACGGGATTATAAAACAATTACTAATCCTATTAACAATTCACTAATTAAGTAATTCCTAATTATTACATTACATTAAAAACTGTTACGCTGCTAATCGTCTTTGGCGATTATCTTTATCATAATTATTACTACGATTAATGAATATTTATTTTATTAATCGTATCTGTACAATTTCTATTTTATGATAAAAATACAAGCGGACACCCTAATACTTGAATAATGTTTATTTGAAATTGTTAAAACGAATTGTTAAGCACATTTATGTCTTCTTGATGTCTATTATATTGGAAGTGGTTAAAAACTATCAAGATGTTTAAAATGAATTAATAAACATTTTTTCAGAAATATTTATCATTTCGTATTGATTAGTTTTATGTAGTAGAATGTATTGTGTATGTAAAAATTACTAAATCAACAATCGGAATCAAATACTATTTTACATACTGTTTTCCGTATTTATTAACTTAACCGATTTCTTTATTACAAAATCACCAATCTAAAACAACTATTACGCACCATATTCATTATCTAATTGATAATTCAATTAAAAATAATATTACACGACGTGAAAATACACACCACTATTATTTTATTCACTAAAAGAAAACATTAGGCCTTCTCAAACATTATTTCCACTTGAAGTCAAAGGCCAAGCTTATCTATACAAATCTATTTCTTATAATAAATCTAGTATCGAATTATTTACACCTTATAATATTTTAAGTACTAAATTATAACACGGCCGTATGAAGAAGGTACTTAAAGCTATTTTTTTCATAGTCTTTGGCGTGAATTCACTAAAGTCGGGTTATGCACTATATTGTCTTAGTCACAATACTACTGTCACTTGGGCTTGAGCTGTCGTCAGCTCGCTGCTGGTTCCTTAGTTCCTGTAACAAGAAAATAAAGATTTATATAACTTTCTTAATAAAGTCTATTTTCCATAATGAACATAATATTATCCTCGAAATCCTTTATATCCGCGCTGAGTAATACACATTGTTTTCCAAAGCGACAATCAGTTGTCACCAGTTATGTTCACATAATTATGTTAAGTATATGAGTTACATGTCGATATCAGGGTGGTAAATCTATTGGCAAACATTAAGCAAAATTACGTTTATTACATATATTTTTAATGGTATTTTTTTAATATTAGCCTCGTTAAAAATATATCTTTTAATGACTTAGGCCAAGGACGGCCTCACGGTACAATTTTGAAATGAAATGTGTTCTGATTTTTTATATACATATCAGTATTCTACAAAAATCCACAACAATGGCGGGCGCGATAGAAAATTTTGGAATATAATTATGCTTTTCGTTAACCTTTCTTCTTTCTAGAGGACTAAAAATATAAATTTTACTCAAACAAATGACTAGAGAGATGAACAAACTATTCTTCATTTCGTAATTATCGATTCTATTCAGTTTTCGTACAATATTCCAGCTATGTAATAAGATCTATCGCCTAAAACTACCTTTGTTGGTATTCGATCCTGATAGTCTAATTTAAGTTCACCTTTACCTCTAATAATTCATTAATCCAATTAATATTCACCCCTTATTCATCCTGTGTTTGGTACTGTTCCGTATTTTAGAATAGTTTTTGATAACTGTTATGCGATTTTGTACCTTAAAGATTATTTAGAAGTTATGGCATTAGGTCCCATTTTGGTAAACATGTACTTCAGTGTCTGCAACACATCAGCTATAGGATGTGTTTTATTTCTGTTGAAAAATGTTCAAAACGACGATGTTCATTTAGATGGTAATACCTCAACCATAAATATTTTCACCCCAAATTCGAATATTAAATCATTTCATTTCGTAAATTGTAAGCACAAAGAAGAAAATCGTAACATAATTTTCATTGTCAAAGGAATCAATTTATTGGAAGGGAAAAAGCAAAGAATTGTGATTAGCTCACGGAGGCGACAATTCTTTGTCATTCACGTATGAAAACGTTACATTATTGGGTTCATACAGAATTTTACATGCATCATATTTGAATATGTTGCCAGACGTAAAATATACAGTTGCTTTTGGGAATTCCTTTGTGCTTTTTAGACGACTGTGAAATATTATACTGGGAGAGCGTTGGACATTTTTGGTGTTTGAAATAAAGTTGGAAAATGAGGGTTGAAGAGAATTTTATGCGGCACTAACGCAGGGTTGGTTAGTTTTTGTCCCGGAACCAAGAATCGTGCTCAAGTATAAATGCAGCTATTTAATTCTAACTTTGCATTTTGTGTCGTGTTGTTGTAAAAGATAGTCTCATGTTCATTAGAGACAGGATTAAAGTGTAAAAACTTTTAAGGTCTTATGTCCCGTACAGTCGTTATAGTTTAGTAGAAGTTAATTAGATCAGTAACTGTTCTGAATGAAAGTAATCATTTATTTCATAAAATGCATAGTCTTATTACAGTCTTAGTAAATACTTCGTCGTAGTTTTACATGAAAAAAAAACGTCCAAATAATAATAGCAGTTCTTGAATCTGGTCTCTGAAGCAAACAGACTGAACAATATATAAATACTGGTATTACGTAAATATTTACGTTCAGTCAGTTCAGTTTAATTAATTTAATATGTTAAATAATTATAATTCAATTAGGAAAGGACGTTAATAAAGATCATACCTACATAACCAAATATGACACTCATAATTATAACACGGCACACACAGTCCACATAATACATTTCAATTAACATATAATAGGCATAAACAATAGTCTTACCCTGGATGTGACAAGTCTCTGCACTACGATCTCCAGCCTGTCGCCAGCAGACGCGATCAGTGGCACAGTCAGGCAGCAGTCATAGTCTACTGTCCTTGTTCCATTTACCTGATGAATATTGAAAGAATAGTAAAAAAAAAATAATAAATACCTATATTGTTTTGTTTAGGGTATTACTGGGTTTTTCAAAAAAAATCTCATTAGAAGCACGGAGTCTGGAATTGTGCCCGGTATATGGCAATAGGCTCACCCCCTATTACATGGGACTCATAACATAAATAGTGAAAAGTGGGTGTTACATTGTACGGCACAATGTACACCTCTGCCTATCCCTTCAGGGATAAAAGACATGATGTTATGTATTATGTTTTGTTTAGGTATAATTATTATTTTAGAGGTAAGTCTGTTTTCCTGGAGTTGCGAGTGAGGTCGTTATATACCGCAGCCCAAGTAAGGAGCAGGAGTTGGGACGGGGTGGTTTGTAGACGGTAAGAGACTGACAATCTAATGAACTTCTATCGTTACAAAAAAAAATATAGGTACTTAGAAATTTTATGGGCTCTTTCAAATACTAATATGAATAACAACAAATCAAATATTGGAATAAAATTTACACTAGTATTTTGATACGTTAATATATTGTATGTATGAAAAGATAAAAAAATATTTATCAGCTATTTTCGTTTTACACCGTGTATAATGTAAGCAGTTCACATAAATAACTATAAAGTATTGCATTTCACCTAAATATTGATGGACTTCGAAAATCGACCTAGATCTCGTTAGATTTTATGAGAGTGATAAGTTTGAAGCCAAGTGAGAACGGCTTTAACCTCTGCTTTTAACTTTTTAAGTGCAAGTACGTACTTTACTTGAGATAAGCAATTCTCGTAAACTTTGAATTAAACAATTACTAGTTACAGGTCTAATGGCGATTATCACCAACTACCTCGTTAGCCAAGTGGTCGCAAGTACGACTGCCGGGCAAGGGGTCTCAGGTTCGATTCCTGGGTCGGGCAAAGTACTACTGGGTTTAAAAGAAAATCTCAGTAGTAGCACGTAGTCTAGAATCGTGTCTGGTATAATGACAATAGGCTCATCCCCTATTACATGGGACTCATAACATCAATAGTGAGAAGTGGGTGTTACATTGTAGAGTGGCGTTAAGTACCGTAATGTATGCACCTCTGCCTACTCCTTCGGGGATAAAAAGGCGAGATGTTATGTTAACCTCCTAACTAAAAGTTACTTAGCGTAGCATCTAAACTACACCCGTACTTGTGTTGTTAGGTGTTATTTATAGGTTAAATGGGCCTAAAAGTTTTTTTTATTATTTTTTAGAAACACACTAGAATTTTGTGTGTTTACAAACATACAAGTTCACATACACATCACATCCAGACCCAAACCACCCAAACAACCAACGCACAACGTGTTGTTCCGTGCGGGAATCGAACCCGCGACACGTTGCACGGCAGCCGGTTGCCTAGCCTAACCACACCAACCGTGCAGTCAATTAAAATGAAACATCTAAAATCAATACAAATCTCTGTTACACGAATAAAATGAAATGTAACAAAAGTTGTAACAAAATGGTACGCAAGTATGGATATTGTAACAAAGTTAATAAAGATTATCAGAAGGTATATGAGGGGCTTTAAAAATAAAGACCTAAACTGGGCCTGTAAATAACGAGAGGTCGAAAACAAGGCAAAACATTATCTACACCTGTACGACGTAATTTAGCAAAATAACTTCAGTTTATAAAACAAAATTTTGTATTTAAAATTACTTAGTCGCCTCTTAGGCATCGTTTTTCAACATCTAATTTGTTAAATTAATTTTAAAAACGTAAACAACTATTTTGTTTGTAGTTATTTTTAATGAGATATTTTTCATAAAATATTAGGTACAGTATAAAGAAAATATGTATACCTAGTTTTAAAGACTGTGATTGAGTTTATTCTCAGAATTTGTAAATACATTTTATATTTTGTCCTTACTATAAAATGTAAATTACTAAATATTTAACACAGAAAAACGAGAAGATATAATATTTTATTATTATCGTTTCTTTTGACGTTTAAAAAACTCTTTTTGGTAAAATTAAACTTATTTAAGACGTAATTATAACATAACATAACATCACGCCTTTAACCCCGAAGGGGTAGGCAGAGGTGCACATTTCGGCACTTAATGCCACTGTACCTCTACAATGTAACACCCACTTTTTCACTATTTATGTTATCAGTCGCATGTAATAGGGGTTGAGCCTGTTATCATTTACCGGGCACATTTCCAGACTCCGTACTACTACTGAGATTTTTAAAAACCCAGTAATACTTTTGCCCGACCTGGGAACCGAACCACTGGGCCAACGAGGCAGTCTTTAATCAACGTAATTATAATAAAAGTATATTTAAAGAAGTAAATAAAGGATAACTAACCTGCAAAATTCTATCATACGGCCTCAACAAGCCAACAATATCAGCGGGTCCACCCTTTCGAATTCGGTTGATATACACTCCTCGTTCATACAAGCCGTCTGACACTGAGAACCCGTAGTCATCGTAGATGGCGTCCTTGTACAATATGACGTGATGGATAGACCCTCGAGCTGGAGATACTGCTTCTGTGCTGTACAAGCCTGTGACAATGTGATCATTATTCAAAATTATATCAATAAAAGAAACAACATATAACTAACTTTCACAACAATTTATGCAATAGCATTTTAAAAGAATAGAAGTTATAAATATGGTATAAACTTAGTCCTTAAAATGTAATACAGCAATGTTTATTATCAAAAAATACTTGACATTATTATTGTTCATTCTATTTAAAACACTTTAAGCAGAATAATTTAGCTTTAAACACATTACTATGCAAATAATTTCGAATATTTATAAAGCGAAGTTTATAAACTGACGAATATGATGTACAAAATTAATTACCTGGGACTTCATTTTCATATATTGGACTCGTCGAAAATTGGAAACTTGTTCCAGGCACCCCAGGCTTTAAGGGTGATTTCTGTGGCGTTGTCACCGTATATATTCCATTATTTAAATAATCACTGTCCCAATTCGGTCTTCGTGTTTTCGGTGACACGATCCCATACGGGCCCATTTGAACGTAATCGCATTTACACGAAGACCTTTCCATATTGTGCAATTGACAATCTTTCATGTTTGATGTGAGAATTTCAATTTGTTGGACATCGTCCTCTCTGGTGATGTTCTGTTTATTCTTCAGAGAATTTTCAGGAATGATACATGTGTTTTCATAATGGAACGTCTTCAAGGAATTGTTTAGGGAATAGTTTGGCAGTGGTAAGTCGTTGATGCTGTACGGTGCTGCAGAATTGAAGTTGGAAGCCATGAGTTTGTCTTCATCGGTTGGCGAGTACGGTTGCTTATCCATCATCCTTGTCTTATCCGGCACTGCGTATTCTATTACTTCTGAATTACCTATAACGTAAACTGTATCTTATATGAGTGTGATAGTAGGATCTAGCATAGCTCGAAAATTTATAACAAAACGTAAATTATGAATCAAAACATAGCAGACGTCATCAAAGATTACATATAATGCTCCATTACGTGAGCATCTTACCGCAGTTGGCGCTGGTCCTGACTGGCGTATTTTGATCCCACGACTCAACAGCGCTGTCATTTGATAATCCGGGGCTCGACGTAGAATGACTCGAGTCCCTCGCACTGGATTCTGCACTTTCAAGCGATCCTACACGAGGATTTAAGGATTATTTTTGCATTTTATTATCTTTCTTTGCATTACATCATATAGTTGAATTAGACATTGATATTTTGCGTACTTATTTAATAATTTAAAGTTTTACTAGAAACAAGATAACTTGTAGCAAGAGACCAAATAGGTATCTTATTTATACTTTTTGCACCATATTTAATATCGTTTGGAAAAAGACAAGATTATCACTCACCAGTTACTTTTCTACACAGTTGAAGTTGCACTCTCTGACCACTCTGTTGCAATAGTTTAATGGCTTCTGATAATGGTTTGTTCAAAACACTTTCACCATTTATTGTGAGCAGTTCATCACCTATTGCTAGTTTACCACATTTTTCTGCTACACCACCTGCAATAATATCGTCATATTTAGAGTTATGACCATGTTTGCTGTCATTAGTTTTGATTACTCTCTTAAGAGTAAATATAATACCTTCAACAAGTCCACTCAAAAGAATAGGTTGCGTCACATCTTCGCTTCCTGCTATAGTCAAACCCAATGGACCATTCTCTTGTTTGATAAGTTCTACAGTAAACACTGCCGTATTTCCATTATCATTACTTCCATGACTTCTTTCACTCTCTTTAGCACTATTATTAGGACTGTCAGTATGATGGCCAGAATCTTCACCACTGTGTACAACAGCTTTTATTTCTATATTACTAAAGCTTTGAAGAGTCAATTTGGCATTGTGTTTGTGGATGTTAGACCAATCTTCTGTTAGGTCTCGTTTACGTATTTTTAGGGTTATTATGTCTTCTGGTGAGTTTTGGAGTATGTTGAAGGCAGTGTCCTGTAAGGAGAGAAAAGATTAAACATTTGGTCTTAACAAATCACTTCGTTGTTTCACACTAGAAGCAGTACTTATATATCGAAGGTTTTGACCCGATAATTCTTAGAAATTAAGCTGGTTTTCACATTCATCATTATACCAAGCGAATTAAGTTCTTAATTACATAAATATTGTACGCAATATGTCACAGAAAGCAGTTAAATGAATACATTAATACATAACAAGTGTTCTGATTGATTACACTGACATTGCAATTTGATCAAAGATCGACTGAGTAGTTAACCTCGTCAAGTGAACCAAGTGCGTTTGTATTGAAGGGTATGCCTAACAATAGAACATTGCATAGAACATAGCATTGATTTGAATTAATGATGTTCGTTTGTAAATGACGGCCCACATACAGTTCATTGGGATGTAAATATTTCACGTTGGCTTGCACAAATAAATATTTACTGGATTAGCTACTTATTTATTACTGATAAATAAGTTTATTTTCGTATTCATTTCTGTCCTATATTTTATCAAATTTGATCTCTCTAATGTTTTAACATAATTTTTCAGTCATAAAATATTGGCGCTGTGTTTTAAATAACTGAAAATAAAATAACTTTAAAAACAGTCTACGTTTCCCAAAATTAAAGTCACTTGAAATTACTTTCATCTATCAAAAATGTCTTACATAATTATTTAATTCTAATAATAACCTACAATTTGATTTTAAACATTTACCGAAGCTTAAAAAAATGATAAATATTGTAATTGACATTCATTATAAGAATTAAAGTGTATACAAATTAATGCTTACCAATGACAGATTATGAAGCGGTTGCCCATTAATTGCAAGAAGTTGGTCGCCTGGCGCAAGTGCTCCACTTCGATGGGCCACAGATCCTGGTTTGATGTCGGATATCACCATAGGTTCTTCATTGCTTAGCAACTTTTGCTTGCACCCTGTTAAATAAAACCTCATAATAACATCTAAAAGCCATTCCAAATCGAGATTTCAAGTAAGATGGTCATGGGTGGTTAGTAGGGACGATTAATATTTGTATGATATATGTATTGGCTTAGTACGTTAGGAGTAGTAAGCTAACTGATGTAGTCCAACGTACCATGACATGCCTTATGCACGTCTGTTTGGCTAACGCAGCCTGGCTGGCCAGCCATGTTGCTTAGCGTTGTATCTGCCAAAAAGACTTCGATGACTTCATAACCCTTATTCCGTCAACTTTACAAAACTGTTAGCGAATTCATGCATGAATTAGAGAACAGTTAGACGTACTAATTATCTTGTTCACCGACTGAACTACGGCTAAAGTTTAACTAAGAGATAGCTCCAAAAAGGACAGTTATGCTTTAGAACTGTGAAGTCAATTTACTTCTGAACATCAGTTTGTTTTAGTTATCCTTACGTCTTAAGTTTGGAAAATTCGACCTAATGTTTAACTTGGTCTTTGTGGATTTATGATAATAATGGTTCATGGTTCTATTAGTTTAATAAATACACCAAAAGTAATCTCGTTTATTTAATTTTATTAATGAATAGGTATGTATGTACCATAGCTTTCATGTTTGATATAATATACGTAAAACAAAATAGAGAATCTAAAATAGAAGACACTCGACAGAATTAGCTCTCCAATTAGTACGAGAGAAATGATTTAAGATTATGAATGAAGTGTGAAGCAGAAATAATTAGATAGGACATCAAAGAACAGACCTGTAATAGTTACTCCTAACCCTGCAGTGGTTTTAGCCAGCTTCACGTTGAACACTCCACTGGATGCTTCGATAGTATTAGGCATACTGAATTCCACATTCAAGGTCAAATATTTAGGGTTATGGGAATCATTTCTTCGCTGCAGGATCTCATTGGCGACATCCATTGTTAAATTCTCGTGACCGTTTATAGACATTACTCTGTCTCGTAGTTGGAGACAACCAGATCTGGAAAGGAGAAAATAAGATGGAATTGGATGAAACCGAACTCCTAATCTTCAATTTCCTAATCCCGAAAAGGCCGGCAATGCACTTTTAACGCTTTTGGTGTTTTGTATCTCCAATGGCGGCCCCCAATGCTTAATATCAGGTGGTCCGTCAGATCGTTCGCCGCTTTAACCCATAAAAAAAATTATCAACCATTCTATCTCTCTACCATTTACACATAAATACCTGTAAGCCGGTGATTGAGAAGCAACATGTGATATGATAAGCATAGCATTCTCTTCATGAACCGCTAAACCGGAGCTCTGACCAGGTGGAACTTCCAGCTGTATGTTCAGAGATTCTGTTCTGCATACTCCCATACTCATGTAATTTTGTTGACTATCTGTTAGAAAAAAAGACAAAAACTTTAAAAATATTCTTGCAGGATTCAAATATTTTTTTTAAGTAGGTATTCGTTACTAATCACATTATTTTCGGATATAGTAGACCCCATACCATCTTATATGATCCAAAATGGTTATACCTATCCTAAGCAATGCAAATCATTTACAATTAACCTACCAACATTAGAGTCACATTTAGCGTCACTACGTCACCCCCTAACTAGGCTATTACAACCTCCGTCCAATTAACATAATGTTTTAGACCAACACGCGAGGGACAGACAAACTAGGAAGTTGCAGGTCCTAAACAAATATCAGGGGAAGATTGTACCAGTACCGAAGTCTGTTTTTCTGGAACAAATTAATTACTGCGCCAGTACGCCTATCCTTTTCGCTTTGTTTGGTGAAGTTCGCCTGATTTTGTTTACGATTACTCTGTTTGGGCACCGGTGCTTATAGTGGAAGGAAATTGTGGTTTCATTAACTTTGCGGACAGATTTTTGGGTTCGGTCTGTAATTAGTGGTGTTTTAGTTCTGGGACTGCTGTGTCAATTTGTTTGCTGTGATTAGTGGTCTAGTTTGATTTGTGGGAGGATTAGTAGAGTTTGACATTTATAATTTAAATATCAAATGTAACAATGTTTTCTAACTGAGTAAGTAACCAACATCTGACTGTACAGTGTTTATCTACCTGAATCACAATTAAATTCTATTCAATTCAATCTACTGAAATGTATCAACGTCGACGGCAAAAATTTTTCTTGTCTATATGGTGTATTAACCTCAACTTGATTATTAACTTCGCTTATTTATTAAATATAAAGTACAGAAAATTCTATGAAAACGAAATAAATCTGTACAGCAGCTGCACACTTACAGTTCAATACATCACCGGTTGTTTGATACGTGAAGAATCTCTCGAAGTAATAATAAAAATATAATAAGCGAGCGGATGTCGAAGAGATCCGACCTAGTTCCGATACACTCCACTTGAAGTATGGATGGATGATTTATTGCCTTTAATTTATTAAGCTTGCTAACTATGATTCAGTTAAGTCCGGCTAAAACATTTCAATTAGTTTGAGCTAATTCCTCAATCAATATACAGAATGTTTTTTTTAAATGTTATAAGTGGTCATTTTGTTGAAATGCCGCCTAAAGTCGCCGTATGTGTAAGAATGGAAGTTCGTCTCTCTAAACCTACCCTAGCATTTTCTACAGAATACTATTCAAGTAACATAATTTTGTCACAAGTTATAGGAACTTTGAAACTCCTGATAGATTTTGCTCAAAATGATAATACAATCGATATCCCATCCAATATCTTACCATAATCGTCTTGTAAACCTAGTTTGGGCATCGAACTCTGTCTGTAGTTCCTCTGACGATGCTTCTTCGCGTTCAACGTTGATGTACCAGATATTGAATTTTCTGAAACAAAGTGTAAACTTATAACGATGGCATTTTGTTCAGTGAACGAACATTTTTATACGTAGTCCTGAGTCTTGACATTCTTTTAGACATTTTTTGTTTTCATTTCAGCGCTTTAGTGACGTTGTTTTATTGAAAGTTGCATAACTTAAATGTTATTAAGAGTTTCCCATTATTTTTATTATGGAAGATTATGTAAATTGTTGACTTATAGTATTGAGTAGCTGGTCCTTATTGCAATTAAACATATCAATTATTTATGCCTGATTTTTCTGTACCTGTTTATATGGACATGACTGCAAAAGCACCAGAGTGGTTTTAAAAAAACAACCTCAGTAATAATCGAATGAAACATCATTCGTATGGGGATATATTTCATAATGTTTTACGACAGCACTTACATTAACCAAACACATCGATGTTTCAACTTCCAAAAATATGTAATAAGTCATGTGACTCGAAAAGTCCTGCCAGTAGCAGAGTAGACTGAAGTTTAAACTTGAATTAATGTACCTGCTCTGTACATTAGTGGAAGGATATTTCAGACATCAGAACTTAAGGCTTTTGAGTTATACGATCCAAGTTTGATGCTCATGTACCTATTCGTTGCTTGTTAGTCGCGGTTCAAGCGACAAGAGGCAAACACATAAAGACGTATGCAAAAGTCCAAGAAAGTTTTCCACATAAAAGATGGTTTGAATCGACGATTTCTAGTTTCAAGTGATTTTGAACTGTGGGAATATTTGTGGTGAGGTTCTGAAGAACCTTTCCAGCTTAGTTTGGAGTTAGTTCTGATAACTGTTTGAATATGGTTTTCTAAAGTTATTTTGAAATTTCGTTTATTAAATTAATTTGTATGATCAAAGGCTTCAGTGTTATATGATTCTATAATAAATTGTATAATGTATAATGTTTCATTCTTTGAGACTTCAAAAATTACTTAGAACCTCTTAGTTACCAGTTTCATCGACTAATTTTCACGGTGCATTCATCATCATGAATATATCCGAGGTTAACAAGCTCCTGACTTGGAGAGCGCTAGTTCCCAAGTTCGGTCATTCGGCAAGTTCGCCCCCGGCTTGCGAAGAATTAACTCAGTAATTATTATACCTTCAGAATAGCTTACGAAAGGTGCTATTGCAGAAATTCTAAGAGCTGGGAAAAGGTATTAAAGTTTCCTAACGTATTTTGCCTCCAGTGTTTTGTGAATAATTTTCGACATCTGTCCTTGTTGGTGCCATAAATATTCTTGGAGTAACGCGCTTTAGAATTACTGTGAATTGTGCTACCTACTGCATGAGAAAATAATACGCCGTTTTTTTTGTAAGGTATATGCAGATCTGCGCGTATTTTAATATTTTGTAGACGTCATGGATACAGGGACGTACAGGAGCCCAGGTTGGACATAAGGTGCTTAAATATATATAGGTGTTACAATTTTAAAATTCACAGGTCTTATAGTTTTTTTAAGTAGAATGGAATGGTGCCAGAGATAATCATGCCACAAATGTTAACGCTTTTCTCAGTCACAGCTTTTCTCAGTATATTCACGTGAATAACCCGCTATTTTTAGTTAAATTAGTATGTCTCACGATAGCTATAATAAAACATGTAACAAATTCGATAGCATACAATTACTCACCTCTAGTGAACCTTCCACAATGGCCGACCACGTGTCGTGGAGCAACGTGAAGCCTCGTGAATCCTCCCTCACAGTTCTCAAGGTAGCACATCACTTCCTCAGCCGTATAGTTGTTGCCGTCAATCACGTGGTCATCGAATGCAAGGATCTGATCTCCTGGGTGGAGAGCACCGCATCTAGAATCAAAATAGTGGTTACAAATGTGAAACGTATTGCCATTTATTTTAGAGTGTGTATTTACTAAATGATGTGTGGTAAACTGCCTCGTTGGCCGAGTGGTCGCAAGTGCGACTGTGGGCAAGGGGTGTCGGGTTCGATTCCCGGGTCGGGCAAACTATTACTGGGTTTTTAACAAATTCTCAGTGGTAGAACGGAGTCTAGAATTGTGCCCGAAATATGGGAATAGGCTCCCCCCCCTATAACATGGGACCCATAACATAAAATTGTTAAAAGTGGGTGTTATATGGTACAGTAGTATTAAGTCACATAATGTGCACCTCTGCCTACCCCTTCGGGGAAGAAAGGCCTGAGTTATGTTGAGAGTTATGATGTGTGATAAAAAGAATTAAAAAGAAAGGTTAATTAAGATTTTGAAAGAGAAGGTTTAGGCTGGCCTAACCTTTACTTTTAAGTCTTTTGCCTTTGCTTACTTTTCAAGCTCTTTTATTTTAAAGTTATAGACAAACGTGTGCGACCAACTAGCGGCCAACGTTAGTTTAGTATTTTTTGTCTGACGCCAGCATTGGATATTAAACACTATATTGTAATCTATTTTTTTAATCTTTATTTATTTACAGGACTTTTATCTGAAGACATGTCAGTCCTATTGATACAATCAAGAAACCCTTAAACTAGTTGACTTAAAAGTAATAATACAAACAAAAGCAAAAAATCAACATCTAACAATGAAATAAAAGGCTCACTTAATACATAATAATGAAATTAAACTATAGGTACCATTAAAATGTAATCGATGGAACCTTATTTATGAGTATGAATAAAACATAATTTACATTATTCTTATTAATTACACCACACGTTTAAGCCCGTAGGCTTTGATTGACAATTCAAAGGGAATGTTTGCATAAGCAGTAATTACCGATATGTTTTGATAGACGCATTGCATACACTCAAATTAAATTGTAATAACACCTGTATATAGGTATCATTAATTAGGCTGGTTTCAGCTGTTACGCAAATTTAAATTTAATGGTATGAACAGAATACAGTTCAATTTTCGAAGTTACGATAGTTGAAAAGCATGTAAACAATTCGGTAACATTCTTATTTCGTTCTAAATTAAGTTAACAGCTTCAAAAAGTCATAACAGTAATCAAGAAAGTTTTATAAGCGACTCGGATTCGTAAACAAATTACCAACTTGTACAATTGAAGTTTTAAACTATTTTAATTCAAGCAAAATGAGTTTCTTAAAACATTAACCGAACTTTAAAGTGTACCGGAATATTAGTGAGGTATGGAGTTTGGAGTTCAGCGCCATCTAGTTGGGAAACTTCGTAATTACCTACATAACGAGAATTTTCGAGGAAAATACGCGGTGTTTTGCAATGAACAAATACGACCAGATTTTATGATTTTTTAAAATGTGCTCTATTGCGTAATTGTTACACCTCGCGACGATACCATGTGAACATAAAATAGTCATCAATCATTTCAACGATTTAGGGCCGAAACACATAAACGTTACTTTGCCGCAACGCTAAAATCGGCAGTTTGCGTTGCGACTCTCGCTCCAGCATAGCAGAGTAATGTCTTCTAAATAACAAATAAGCAATAAGTTTTTCACGATGGTCCATGGCAGAGACACGTCTATCCACAATAAAAAATCACGACGAACTTGTTACCCTATCGAATAACGACAAAACGCTCTTTTTCACGACGCCGCAACGCCGCAACGCACCGCAACGCAAACTGCCGATTTTAGCGTTGCGGCGACGCAACGCGGTTATGTGTTTCGGCCCTTAAGAACAGCCAGTAATATGCACACAACATAATTAAACAAATACGGATAATAATTTCCCCAGTCATGAAAACACTTCTTCATTTCTCTAGAGGATACTCAATAAAGAAAAATACTTATAGGTATTAAAGTAAGCAAACGTTTTTCTAAACGATGAATAGAGTGTAATTAATTTTTCTTCCCTCTCTAAATGATTAAAATAATCGCCCCAAAGGAATGAGAATTGGAGTATTCATTTGACTTTTAGATTTTATTATTAAAAACAAATTATTTCTAATTTTATACCTTTGTAGCTATCAAAACTGTTATAAAAGAGATGATAACAAAATAGTTCAATATCAGTTTTTTCTAGTTATTTTTATCGCAGAATTCGGATCAATCGGATTCGTAGAACGTGGAGGTAAAGAGTATATTTTTGTTTAATCCCTGGAACAAAATCGGTAGGTAATATCGGATAGTTGCTATGGAAGTACGAATATAAAAACTTTGTCTAGTTAACAGATAATATTGTATTTTGTTCTGGGATATACAAGATCACTTTGATAGAACATAACAACAACATAACATCACGCATTTTATCCCCGAAGTGGTAGGCAGAGATGCACATTACGGCACTAAATGCTCTAAAATGTAACACTCACTTTTCACTACTTAACTATGTTATGAGTCCTTTGTAATAGGGAGTGAGCCTATTGTCATATACCAGGAACAATTCCAGACTCCGTGCTCCTGATACTACTGAGAATTTTTAAAAACTCAGTAATACTTTGCGCGACACTGGAATCGAACCCGAAATTTCGAGAGGTCGTATCAATTTGATAGACAAACGCTAAAATACTCAAACGCTACTCAATATTAAGTCGCGCTTAAGTATTTTCTTAAGAGGGGAAAATCGCCGAATGACTTCTCCCGTCTGGGTGAGGCGGGAAGGAGTGTCAGACTCTTACTGACTAAAAACCACCCCGTTCCTACTCCTGCACTTCGAGCCGGAGCCTCGGTAACACGTTAAGTTCTAGTTCGGTCACTACAAAATCTTTGTAAAATGACAGGGATGGTACGATATTTAAGTACAACTTCATATTGAAGATGCGAAAATGTCTCATTAACTTTTGTCAATCGCTTAAGAAGATTTGTGCTATATTATGTATCTTACTAGTCTTACTATCTTACTAATATTATAAATCTGAAAGTGAGTTTGTTTGTTTGTTTGTTTGTTCCACCTTCACGCCGTAACTACTCAACCGATTGCTTTGAATTTATGCAGACGTAAAGTTAGAAGTCCGGATTAAATAATAGGGTACTTTTTAACCCGGAAAAAATGATATTCCCGAGCAAAAACAAAAGTATTGGTATAGATGGCGCTGTGTGTATTGGTATATACCAATCACATAGGCTACTTTTTATTCTTTTGTAACGCGAGCGAAGCCGTGGGTAAAAGCTAGTAATCTATAATCCTATACTTCACCTAACTAAGGACATGCTTTTAAGTCTTGTCAAAGACTGAAATATAATCTCTCTGAATGGATCGAAGGTATCAAAACACGTACCTACATTGTTAGAACTACTCATACTAAAAGGCAAAGAGCATGACAAGACAATATTGAATCTATTCCTTTTAAAAACACAATTGGGCGTTGACCCGGTATAAGACATCGAAGGTTGACATGACAAGGGTCAAAGATCCCTTAGGCGCGAAGGGTTTCCATAGAATGACGTACGAAGATTCATGATATTATTTTTAAATTGTCTGTGCTGTTTTTATATGGGGATTTTTTTTTGTTTGATCTGTTTCTACGTATTTTTTGGAGTCAATACTCTATCCACGGTTTGTATGTAGGGTTGATGGGTGATTAAACAATATACAAAATTATATACTTTATTTTTATTTTTAAGGGACAAGTTGGCCACAACCTCACCGGAACATTGAAGTCCGGCGCGTTCCAGGGACATGAATAACTCTTGTTGGTTTGGTTGCCACAACAAAATAAATCAGAAGATTTTATTAATGGAAAAGGAAAAAAATCTATATTGAAGAATACTTTTGAATTACAAGTGAAAGTCTGTCTTTATGATTTGTGTGAAGTGTTATTGAAATTAAACTATATTTGAAACAACCAATTAAAGTATACTTTTGAATTATAAGTGGAAGTTTAAGAGACTTTCTTTCGTCAGTTACTGTAGCCATAATTTTAATTACATAACATATAATATAACATCACGCCTTTTCATCTTAACTTGTACCTAACTTTCTTTTCACCATTTATGTTATGAGTCCCATGTAATAGGGGGTGAGTCTATTGCCATATACCGGGCAAATTACCAGATTCCGTGCTACTACTGAGATTTTTAAAAAAACCTAGTAGTTCTTTGCCCTACCCGGGAATCGAACCCGAGACCCCTTGCCCGGCAGTCGCACTTGCGACCACTCAGCCAACAAGGCAGTCCTATTTTAAATTATCATACTAATATCATGAATACGAAAGTTTGTGAGGATGTAAGTGTGCGTCTGTTACTCTTTCACGGCAAAACTGCTCAAGGGATTGGGATGAAATTTCCAACGGGGATAAATTGTGGTATGGAATAACACATAGGTTAATTTTATCCTACAGAAATGCGGGTGAAGCTGCTGGCAGAAGCTAGTGATTCTATAAAATTCTTCTACATACATAAAATATTTTTTAGATTATTCATAATCTAAAAAATATTTTTTAGATTATTCATAATCTAAAAAATATTTTATGTATAATATGTGTAATGTTTTAATAGCTAATATTTTCTTTACAACTTTTCCCACATTGTACGCCAAAGTGCATTGAGCGGAAACTAGGGTAAGCCGATATCTTCTAATCAATTTAAATATCGATAACTCATCAGTTATGGTCCTGTGACTAATTATTATGTGCTACTACTGCAGGGCAGGGTTATTGACCTACAGCTTTGTTTAAAGTTAACTCCGATAAAAATTCATTGAATATTTTTTTGTAATCAACTTTTTTTAAAGATATTTCAAGAACCAATTTCGCCTTTAAAATAGTAGTAATAAAGTGCTAATTAGTTTGAGATGGCAATTATTATTGTAGTACGGTTATTGTTTCTGTCTACACCACAATCCACAACATAAGGTTCTAATTTGATTGTATGTATGGTTGAAGTAATTAATTCGTGTTATCTACATAGTTTACAGTAGTAATGAATAAGATAATGATGTGTCGTTATCTCATTTTTTATTAACAAGTATTATGTCTTAGGTACTACAGTCAAGTTTATTAAATCTCTCAATTATTTTCTTCTATTTTGTTCTTCTAACTTTTTAACTATCCAGACAGTCTCAGATTTTATCAAATACAAGTATACGTACATAGTATTAAATAAGACACATTCAAAGAGAAATTAAGGAACAAAATGACAGTCATAAAATTTCACATAACATAACATAACATCACGCCTTTTATCCCCGAAGGGGTAGGCAGAGGTGCACACAGAAGTAACCCCCACTTTTCACTAATTATGTTATGAGTCCCATGTAATAGGGGGTGAGCCTATTGCCATGTACCGGGCACATTTCCAGACTCCGTGCTACAAGTGGATTTTTTTTTTAAATCCAGTAATACTTTGCCCGACCCGGAAATCGAACCCGAGACCCCTTACCCAGCACCCACCCAATTTCAAATTTGTAAAATAAATAATATGAATTCAGCAGTACTACTCACCTGTCACTAATACTAGCAGGTAATATGCTGTCAATATAAATCGCATTGCAGGTCCCAACCCGCTGATACGTATCCGAACCAGAACTGTACACGTCATCAGTACACCTCTGATTAGTCAGAAACAGGCCCAGGTCCTCATTACAAGGCCTTTCGATCTCTATGAGGAGTGGTCCAGTCGCCAACTTTACTGACTCCATTATGGACACGTCATATTCTATCGTGAGGCTGGTCACTTGTGGACAATTTTGCAGAATATTGTGGACTTCTGACAGCGTTTTGTTTGTAAGAGATACCTGAGAAGAAAGAAAATGTTTTGATCTTAATTATTACTTAAACACATACGAGAGACATTCGTTTAGTATTATGTCTTTTGGTTGATGTTAATGCCAAATTTTTTAAATTATTTACGTCATTTCAAAATTGTTTGGATATTTTCTAAATTAAAGACAGTGTGTACTTACTATGTATTACTGCTGTTTTTATTTCTATTGTTAAATGTTTAAAGAACTATACTTACATGATCAACCTTCAACAGCCTGTCTCCTGGTTTTATTCTAGAAGTATTGTACGCAGCACCTCCAGGTCTCACATGGGTCACTACCAGCGGTTGGGCGTCTAAAGACCGACTGTTCAGCACCAGGTCTGCACTAGGAGCTGAGTTCTCCGGTAGACCACCGCGGATGGTGATACCAAGGGAGCCATTTATCTTCTCTACAGGAACCTCTGCTAGCTTCGTTGTGATGTATAGGGAATTTTGGGATGCTGGAACAAAAAAAGATTTAATTGAATAGGTATTTTGTAAGAATATTAGAAAGCGCTTAGCAAAATGATTGTATTTACTAGCAGTAAACATGTAGACATTTGATTAAAATTAGTATTATCTTATTAAAAGACCTTATAAATTTCATTCATATAAATTCCTAATATTATTTAAACAACAAAAGATAATTACATCTGTTAATTCATTTTAAAACAAGGGAAAGTTTAGTAAAACGGAAACTTATCCAACCGCGACCATGAGCGGTTCGCTAAAGTAGTGGAAAATAAAAGGAGGTAAGCGCAGCCGCGAAATTATTCGTTCAGTGGCTGGTTACCGCTTCGCTTACATACACTTCTGTTTTGGGAATACAAATAGTATTTACTGGAATGGAAGGTTTAAAGCAAAACCTGCTACGAGAATGCAAATTAGAATTGAAAATTTATTACAAGGACATTGTTTAAAATAAATGATATAGAGAGAAAGGGAGAGCACGAAAAATAACGCAAAAATCTTCACCAGGAAACCTAACTCATAGTAAACATGGCTTAATTCGTGAAAATCATATAAGGTGACTTCTGTTCTTCATCATATTTGTAAAATAATTAGCTACGTGTGTGTGTCTATAACAACTAAGAAAGTCAACGAACAGGATTAAAGAGAAGGATCATCTCCTTGGTCTATTTCGGTGTTCATCCGACGTCGCATCGGAAGTTCTTGCTCAATGTGACAGGTGGCGCTAAATATAGTTCTCGTCGGACGTTAGAATGAATTTTAATTATACTATAAAGATAGTCATCACCATACGAAGGCAGAATTAAATACGATAGATAAACTTAAAGATTTTTTTTAAGGGGAAAAGATATTTCGTGACTTTTCCTGCCTCGGGTGAGGCTAAAGAGTTTCAGACTCTTAGTGACTAAAAACTATCCCGTTCCTTCTGCTTCGAGCCAGAGCCCCGGTATGCAAGGTCGACCGCAGCTTTGGAAACTCAGTCTTGAGTTTAATTCCTGATACTAATAGTAATATTGTAGGACTAATAGGGCAGTATCAAACGTAGGTCTTACTTAGTACCCACTGTCCTACTTTTGGGTTTAAGATTCCTATTAAAAGTTATTCCAAAAGTAAGATGGAATTGCTCAAACAGACTAAATTGCTCCAAAACCGCTAAATTACAAAACATTGGAGCTTTTAAACTAAACCTATAAGTCTCGACCCAGACATTTTTTAAGCAAACTTTGAGCTATATTTCAAATATATTGGCCTGAGCAAGAACTAAATAGATTAATCCTGAAATTATCCAGACTTTGAACTTAGTTTAGTAAGACTAATGACTGGGAGAACAGAAAGAGGTGTGTCAGTAACAAAATTAATTGTTCCCTTGTCGCGTACATGATGTGCGAATGTTAAGTTTAAATCGTAATATTTTAGTTTTACATGGCTCTTAGAGATGTCTGTCAAACTCTGAAGATTGTGCTAAAAATGAATTAAAATTAACATCCACTTTCTGCAAGTCATATTTTAGCTCCATGGTGTTAAAGTATATTTATTAGAACTCTTGATACTGAGATTAGTTACTTATAATTTCGGGATAGAACACATTTTTTGCTGTAGAATTCGTTAAAACTTCAAACACTCGTAGTCAATTGAACTGAAGTGATGTTAAATAATTTATATCTAAAACAAATTGAGATAGATAACAAAAAACTATAAAAAAGCAAATCAAACATTATAGCAAAACGCTAAAACAAAAACGATCCAATTTTGTACAAACGAATGTTCCAATTCCAATAACATAATTTTATTCGTCTATACAATTTTTATGAAAGAATTATTAAACTCAATGAAATCCTTATGACGACCAAAGGACATCTGCGCAAAGTCCTTTATATTAAAGCAATACTAATACTATTCTAGGCAAAATATTTAGAATGAAATCACAATAGGCTATAAATAACGTATTTAGATATTGAATATGTGAATCCTTTGTGGGTTGAGACTTAATATATTTAGTCCACCGGGCTTAGTCTTTAGTGAACATGTGTACAATGATAAGGGATGTTATGAACGTAAAACATTGCTTGGTTTAAGCCTCAAAAAACGCAAATTTGAAAATACGCAAAAAAATTGCTCGTAGGTACAATATGCCTCAATATCACAATAACAAGAATTCTTTGAAAATGTATTTTAATATGAGAATAACATTACGAGTAAATTTAATTAATATAAATAATAAATACTAAAATAATAATAAGAACTACGTAAAATACAAATATCTAAAAACAAAAATATTTACACCCTAAAATTACCTTAAAAAAGTGAGTAATAAAAATGTTAACGTAAGCTTAAAATTCTTTGAAAAAAGAATGTAACTAGGTAAGACAAAATACAACAAAAATGTCGTTCATATTTAAGTAAATTAATAAACTTTCAATCCAATAACCATTTACTTTAAAACAACACTGTCTCTTCAGATAACTCCTCGATCAATTACAAAAACACTAATTTAACGAACAATATCGGTAGAGACAAATTCAATTTGCTAAGACGAAATTTGACTACCCTGAATAATGTATTATCACAAAAGATAACTCCGTCCACCATTAGTATAAAGACAGCCATCTTAATTGAATATTGAATGTTTTATAATACCTCGAAATTCTTTGACAAACTTCTATCCCTAAACTCATTAATAGTCTGTCAAAATTATCTAGCAAGCACTTAAAACAAGTATGGCGAAGTTAATTTTATTATAGATATTTCTGCTCTGAAACCAACGACGAATTCTAGGAACAATTGACTTTGAATTGTATAAATTGTAACAACATTTGTTACGATTTTAGATTGTGAATATCTTTGTGAGATTGGTTTGTAGTTGTGATAATAATATCGTGTTATCTTTGCCAGTAATGAATTTAAAGAGATTTAATAGTGTAACTTCATTTCTTAGTAATCCGACGGAACATAAATTTTAGAGCTATGAGACCATGGTACCTTAGAAGTTTTGGTTTGGGTTCCTGATTTCTAGCAATTATTTCAAAATCAAAGCATTTATTTCAATTTAATCTTTATTTAGGCACTTTTGAATTGTCTATCCTTCTGTCTATCTGTCAGTAAAGCTAGGTACTCGATCAAAAGTGTTGTTTAAGGGAGGGAAATCATCAAAGCCGGTGCCCCGGCGACGAGTTAAGTCCTCCACGGCTCCGTATCGGCATCAGCCCTACAGGGCCCCCATCTGTGGTGGGGTGATGGCTTGAGGCGCGCGCGGAACGGACGCGCCGTAAGTCGGGTCTAGTTCTGAGGCCTTAGCAGTTTAGCACGAGTTTCTTTTTCGTTTAAAGTAATCGAAACGAGACGGTGTCAATCGCTCTAATTGGTTGGTTCATTGGAGCTACCAATCACAACGCAGAACGCGTACTCGTTACGATTACTTCTAATGAAACTCGTGCTAAGGATTCTGGTCGGGCGGCGAGCTATCAATGCTAGCCTTCTAAAGTGTAGTTTCGAATGGATAAAAACGAGCAAGAAACTTCATTGTAACTCTTTAAAACAATGTTTTTACAACATCATTGATACATTACCTATTTGATCTACTACCTATTGTATATACAGTATGTGAGAACGATGTTACAACAATGCGACGTCAAAAAATAACGGACTACGAAATCAAGTCCTGAAATGAAAGCTATGAATGATTGTTCCAAACGCGGTACTCACATTTACACTTACAGTTTTATTCTCAATTGTATGAATAAGTATCTACCTACCTACCATTTTTCTTACAAAGTTTCTTATTCTCATAGCACTATCGTATTACACTTTCATTAGTTACCAGCTATCATAATATAACAAAAATAATTAAACATTTAATAAACAAAGGTAGCCAACATATAACGGTGATAGCCGCTCCTCGTACCTATTTAATGCGGATATCAAATGTAATAATTTAGTTTTTATTCTAGCATAAATGCTAATTTTAATGGCTTATTAAGACAGAATATGAAAGGGTAAAAATTAACTGGTATTAAGCTAAAAATATTTTACTATTTCTCTTTATTTACTTACTAATATTTCTCATGAGTATTGTTCTAATTTTGAAACCTAGTAATTGACCTACTTGTCTAATTACAGTGCATAGAGAGTTGTAGTTTTCAGCAGTACATTATGTAATTTATTCAATAACTAGCTCATTAGTAATTAATTATTTATTAAGTATAACTGGGTTTTAAAATTCTCAATAGTATTACGGAGTCTGGAATTGTGCCCGGTATATAGCTCACCCCTTGTTACATGGGACTCATAACCAAAATAGTGAAAAAAAAGTGAAAAGTGGGTGTTACATTGTACAGTGGCATTAAGTGCCGTAATGTGCACCTCTGCCTACTTCTTTGGTGATAAAAGGCGTTGGTATGGTTGTTATTAATCTTAATTCATACAACTATTAATTCATTAATATAATGACTATTCACAAAAAGTAGACATAGACATAGAAGATCATTTAAATCTTTTTTGTTTTATAATAGAAAAATAGATTATTTATTGACAAACCATAAGCAAAATAGTTTACTTATATTTTATTTGGTATCAGATAAGTTTGCGTGCTTTTAGAATCAATCTCAGATTCTTGTTTCCGACGGTGCCTCGGGGTCCGCAAAAATATATTCACCTCCTAAGTTAAACAAAGTGATGGAGATAAAAAGATTTTGTTTATATTAAATATTACAGGTAAACGGATAAGATGGTTTCTTTGTTCCTGTGTAAAAAATAATCCAAAAATATATTATACAAGGTTTAAAGACTAAGGGATTAAATTTTGTTCATAAAAACACCGAATTTTTCTTTGTTCCTTAAAATTTTTTAGTATTTTTATTCAAACAATATTCTCTTTAATATTCTAGGCGTAAAACGTGGTTTGTTTTTGAAATTAAGTTTTTTGTGGTTACATTTTTAGTTAAAAAGTGATTAAAGAAAATAAGAAAATAAAAATATTAGAATACAAAAGTAAATAATAATGATCATTATTCTGTTTGTATATTTAATCTTCGAATGTTCAGAATATGTTTTTAAGTGTTTCTACTTTTTCACTAAAACTGTTTTCTAAGAATTCCCACGTCAAAATTCGCAGAAACATCTACTTCAGTCAAAAGATCACAGAAATTTATTTGACTAAGTTAAATACAAAATTCATATTTTTTAGGAGAAAAATGTATCCTCAAAGCGACAGACATGTCATGTTCCCCATGTTTTGGGAGTAACAATTTGAATCTTATGACCCACCTTTTGATAACTGAAGTATGTAATCGACCTTAGAATCAATCTCAAAACTTCTTATTACATGTCAACGTACATAATATTTACATGTGAGTAATTGAGTAAGTATACAATATCTTTTATACAAAGTTAATTATTATTTATGTACTGTATGCCTTACTCAAGACTGTTTGTGCGGTGGCTGAGCAACCGACTGCCACGCAACATGTCGCGGATCCATTCACGCCCGGAGTAACAATTTGTTTTGATCTACCCATTATTATTGTTCCTGATCTGGGTGTCATGCGTATGCGAACTGGTATGTTTGTAAACGACATGAAAATACAGGAGAAAAATCAAGAGCATAGCAACGCTTTTCTTAAAAAGAATTAGTACGTCTCACGAAAGATATAATATCATTTATATATTTCAATTTCATAGTACGTAATGCCTACGTTTCATAGCTCAATGATCAAAAATATTACTTGGAATTCATAGTAAGTACTCGCACAAGTATATTGTAGAATTCAATCAAGTTTCCTATTTATTTTTTTGTTCGAAGACATTCTATGTCATAACATGTTAACAATATTATATTATCTGAAGACTAGGTCGACATGTTATTGATTAGGTTATAGATAAAAGGAAAATGGAGGACGGTTGACATGTGAACAAGTATTGAACATATTACTATTAGTAAGACAAGACTTGTAACATGTGACATTTGGGTTTAGTCAGTTTAATGATGAATGTACTACAATCAATATTGTATGGAAGTGTTTGTTTTTTTTTGTAAAAATTATCGCTAAACAAGCTAATTTCATTGGAATTTCTATACGGCTTATTCATGTCAACCAATCTAGGAAAGGTCTACTGGTTTCAAGTCAAACCGGGGCTTTTATTCATGAGCAGTGTGCTCAGAAGAAGCTTATATACCATTGCACTGTTAATGATACATGCATTTACTACCTACAGTAACCTTGAGACTGAGATTTTCTTTTTCTGCTTTTTCAAAAACACTATTACTACAAAAGTACTTACCATAATTAGGCATGTAATATTCAACCTCCAACGACGCTCTTTCTTCCACATTGTCAAGGAGTCGTAACACCTCATCATTGGTCAATCTTGCTGTTGATATGCCGTTGACGCTGCAGATCCTATCTCCTGGAGCCAGTCGATCTGATTCATGGGCCACTGAGTCTTTTGTGAAACCCACTATTGATGGTACAATCCCAGGTTCCGAACGTCCTGTGAACAAGGAAAATCTAAAATTAATTTTCATCACTTTAATTAAAATTATACGCAAAGACTTAATACACAAACTCAATTAATTTAACATGTTTGTTATTATAAGAGAATATTTCCTCTACCATTCTTCGAGTAGAATATAAATGAGTTCTCACATTTATCTGACAATATCTCAAGACTAGGTTCATTGAACCACTTCACTTAAAATTCAGCTCATACGCAATTGACATGGTTAAGCAGAAAAGAGAACGCATTACTCGAAAAAAGTTATTAGGTTGAACAAAAACCTTGTCAGCCTAAATACATGTACAGGGTACACTCCACCCCACAAGTTCTAAACGACGTACATAACAATACAGTTACAATGATGCGAACTTTGAAGTGCTACTGTATGGGCTGGCCGTGCTAACTGAGTCATAAACATCTTGCTGTTTGAGCCTTCATAAAAGGTTCAAAATAGCTCGTAAATATGAAATGGCACTCACGAGCGGTCATTCACTATGGTGTGTAGTGCGATGTAAAATTCCTAGTTTTTGCGAAGTGGAGCGCCCATTTTAGTATCCAAACTTTTTAGAGCATCCAATTTTGGAAGGTATTGTTTTTTTTTGTTCCGCTCTCCCTGAATGTTTTGGTCTATATTATATTGTGTGGCTTTAGTATGCATGTTGGCAATATAAAAGCGATTGCCAGACTATTGTTTTTCTTCCTGTAGGACCAAAATTCAAAGCAAAATTTAACTTTGAACGATTTTACTTTACAATGATTACCTACTTACATATTAAATAAAAAACAACAAGGTCACATTGATAAAAATAAACAGCAAAGGTTTCAGAAAGTTTATACTCTCACTGTTTATTTTTAAAACATTTCATGTTCTGTTTACAAAGTAACCCATTACTACTATTGAATTTTTCCTTATTTAAAAAGCATTAAAATAACAACGAAATTCAATTACAGTACAAAAAGAAAACTGGTATATTTTTTACACGTAGAAAAAATAATTGCGAATTATAACAATACGTTCCTGGCAGCACAGTACATAACGGATAAATGCCAAATCAGACTGAGGGACGCAACGGTGACGGAGGGACGTGATGACGTGGTCTAGTGTCAATCACCGGAGAGCCTGACGTAGGAGATAATTAATATAAATTGAGCTAAGCCAAAGTTTCTTAAGTTACAAATTATAACTATTATTGTTACTAAGCACTGAGCTAGCTAGGTTTTTATATAGAAAATAGTTAAAATCGTTCTTTGTTATTATTGAATGGGGTGGGCAGATTTTAAATAGCTTTTCTTTCTTTTTTAATAATTAAAAGGTCGACTTGTCAGAATGTCAATCAATCCAACTTCATATTATAGTGAAAGTGTTAGTATACAAAGTAAAACCTTTTTAATTTTCTATCTTTTTTTATAAATAACATTGGAGTGTTTATATCGAAATAATTGCATTTTACTACGTGCATATGAATATACCTACATACAATATACAAAAATAATATTTTTAAAAACTTTTGTCCGCCTGTCTGTCTGGTTGTCTGTTTGCCTGTTTGTCTTTTACTGGCAGCTACCTGCCAGTATGAGTACCTGCCTAAGATGTACTTAGGTAGGAGTATATAGGAGTAGTGTATTTTTATTTTGATAATTTATATAAAACTAAGAATTTAGATAAAACTAAGAAAGTTATGTCCTAAAACTCATATTCTATGTGGACGAAATCGCAGACAACAGCTAGTTTAAATTAAGACTTGAATGACTCATGCAATCATAAATACAGGCACGATTATGCAGGAATTTTATATGCATATTTAACCCTCATGACATTTTTCTATAACAAATACATCCCACTCAACATTTGCATCAATTTCTGATGTGAATAACAACGATAAATAAATATTCTTAAAATATTACGTTTCGATAGAAAAACAAACGATTTGCTTGGTCTCAGTGTCACACCCACGTCAAGGGATTTATATATTCCCATCAATATAAAACTCTAACTCTTTATGTATTTGTTACCCAACAATATATTTGGTATGTTGACTTGACACTTGAAAATATATATATTGAAAACTTACATCATTTATTTTGTTTGTTCGGATACTTACCGACTAAGTTGTTGATCGTATTATCGTTTCTATGATCATATGGGTTTGGTAAAAGACACGAAGTTTCTAATTTTGAAGTAGATGACAAGATATACACTACTAGCGGCCCGTCCCGGCTTCGCACGGGGGGACTTAAGATTTTTTACATAGTTTTACGTTTTATTTATATTTATTCTTAGTTTTTTTTTAGCGGTCTGCCCTCCGTTGTCGATGTCGCGTCTTAAGGTAACCGATTGAACAATTCAAAAGTTATCTAGAGCAAACTTTTATAAGGATTGAACCATTCATTAAAACGATTGTTATGGGTAAACTATAAAAGGTAGACATATGCTCTCGCGGACTTTTTTAAAAATAATGTTAAGATAAACAATTCATCTATAGAACATTTTTGTATAACTTTAACTATATGCTCAGCGCACGCCACGGAAGGCCTCAGAAACGATACTTTTCCCCCGTTTTTAAAACATTTTTGGTTACTGCTCCACAACTATAGGACCTAGCGTGATATTATATGCCTATGTTACTTCTGAATAATGCAGCTTTCGCATGGTGAAAAAATTATTGCAATCGGTTCAGTAGTTTTTGAGTTTATTCATTACAAACATACAAAAATACAAAAATACAAATCTTTCCTCTTTATAATATTAGTATAGAAGTATAGATATCAGACTAACAAAAATATATTTTTTTTAAACGTTGCCCCGCATTATGATTTTCTCCTGTGTCGTGGGTGCATTTACAAACATACAAGTTCACATATACAATGACACCCAGACCCGAAACAACAATTTGTGGATCACACAAAGTGTTGTTCCGTGCGAGAATCAAACCCGCGACACGTTGCACGGCAGCCGGCTGCCCAGCCACCGCACCAACCGTGTAGTCAAGGCAGTGACCTGCAACCTGTCATCTGTGCAGTTAATATACAATTAATGTTAGTATATCAACTTAAGCGTATATTAGTAGCACTTTACTACGCACTAGGTCATCGTACGCGCGTGTAGCGCTTGTCCGCGGAAGCGAAGGAACACCACTCCCTGCGGCTAGAAGTCTTCTTCCAAAACAAGGTATAGAAAACATGTTAGCGTTCTTACCACATACGCTTTGAAAAAGTCATTGCGGGTTGTCTCGAACAATGGCACTTCTCGTTTTAAGTTTATCATAATTATAGATATTTTATACCTAATCGATATTATTAGACAAGTCTTGTCCAAAAGAGAAGATACGTTATTTGTCACATTTATTCATAATTTTTTGTCTCCTTTCATCTTTTAGTTAATAATATGTCGATAGACCATATGACCTCTGTCACATTTAACATGATTGTAAACAGCAAACTATAACGGATAACTTTGCCACAGATACATACACCCATAAAGTAACAATTTCTTCATATGCCTAAATCCGAGTAGGTAAGTCAAAGCAAAAAATAGGTTACAATCTTTCCAGAAGTAAATAATTCGACCCTTTTATAGTCGAACCTAGATTTTCAAGGTCAAAAGGAATATTTTCTAGATCTTTTTTCAAAAGGTTCTTTTATTATTACTTCGGCCATTTGTGTGGAAAATAATTTTGAAGGCTATAGTTAGTACCCTGACCAAATATAAGTACCTAAATGTGTGTTCTTTGAAAGCTAGAGATCATTTTAAAGATAGTATCTGTTTTCATAATAATTATCGTGAGACATATTAAATTAACTTAATATTACTATACTAAACAAAAAAAAATCGCTAGTTTCGAGTCACTGAAGAGCTCTTCCTCATGAGCGGCGTGTGCAAATATTAAAAAACAATTCCATAATTATTTTGGAACCAATTGATCAACTTATTTTGTACTAGCTTTTACCCACGGCTTCGCTCGCGTCACAAAAGGATAAAAAGTAGCCTATGTGACATATACCAATACACACAGCGCCATCTATACTAATAATTTCGTATTCCTTCGAGAATATCAAATTTTTCCGGGATAAAAGTACCCTATTATTTAAACCAGACTTCTAACTTCACGTCTGCAAAAATTCAAAGCAATCGGTTTAGTAGTTACGGCGCGAAAGTGGAACAAACAAACAAACTCACTTTCTGATTTATAATATTAGTAAGGATTTTTTTTTAAGGGGGGGAAATCATCGAATGACTGCTCCCGCCTGGGTGAGGCGGGAGGGAGTGTCAGACTCTTACTGACTAAAAACCACCCCGTTCCTTCTCCTGCACGTCGAGCCGGAGCCCCGGTTATCCGTTAGGTTCTCCGCGACATATTAGTAAGGATACTGTTTCACTAATAATAAGATTATTTGAGTGCCTAATTTGAAGAAATTTAATCAGGTAGACACTTAATAATACTCGTCATACTCGTCTTTTACCAACAACAAAATTACTTACTCACGATATAACCTAAAACAATTTTTTATTATAAGCCCGGTATAATGAGCTAACAAATTCCGATTGCGTCACAATCCGCGCTCAGTACAAAGCAAACTGTGATTACCAGCTATTATTTTGCACAGATTTATCTGCGAATGAAACCACAGCAATACGTAATAATATTATGGATAGAATATGTGAAACGTAAATTATAATTTCCGCAGTTGTGCAGGAAACGGGAAAGCATAGAGCAGAACGGTGGCCACCATGAAATGTATCTTTTGGATCCGACGCGACATTTGTATTATGACTATTGATTTGTCATATAAAAAAAATGTGGGCTCATGTAAGTAGTGGGGATTGCTTTACTGATCTTATTTTAACTGTGTCGTTAATTAGTGTTTGAATAGTGGTAGATGTATACGAATTTATGTATGTACGTTCGTTTTCTTATAATAATGCAGGGTACAAAATATAGAAAGCTCCCGAAACGCTGACAAAAAGAAATTGTTTTTATAATTTTAATAGTTTT